ATTTAACCATTTCCGATATATAATGTCTGTTGAACTGATTAATTCTGTAGGTCAATGATATATATCCGGCTCTGAAGTTTAAGTCAGCTTTGTATTATCCTATGATGCAGTTTCAGTTGTCATGGTTACGAGATAATACATTGTTGTTTGTCCTGCGCACTGTGGTACTGTAGTAGTTTGATATCATGATACCCCAACACTGCCCACAGGACATCCTCCCTGTCTACACCAATAGCCAATGCAAAGTAGTCATATGTGTGTATGATCCTGAGGAACTCACCACACCCATTGATGAGTATGATACGGTTGTTGCTACAATCCCCTATGACTAGGTTACCCACACTGTCATACACCACACCCCAGGGGGTAAATCGTTTACTTCCTGACTGTGATGTTGGTTGATATGTATGTGGGACTTTACCATCATATTCAAATAGTTTCTTGAAATCTGTGTCTATGACAACAACACGTGGTTTCCCTTCACCACCATGAAGTGTATTACCCAAATCAGCCACTGCGACATTGTGAGTGACAGGACACTCCGAGATCTTGCATGGTGTACACACAAATGGTTTCCCTGTACCTGCAGATGATGTAGTATGTAACAATGTACCTCCTGTGGTGAATTTTGAGATTTGTTTGTTCTTCCCCACAATGACATGGTTACTAGCTGTGATACAGATACACCGTGGGTTCTCCGTGGTACTGAATCTCTGTACTAGTCGTCCTGACACGAGCTCTGTGATGTTGTTGTTAAAGTCACAGACCCATAGTGTGTTGGTTGTGGGTGACAGACTTATGTCTGTGATCCTAGTATTGTGTGTAACCTCCTGTATTACTTTGCCCTTCCTGTCCAGGAGAGTTAAGATGTCACTGTGAAGGTAACTGGTCCACACTTGACCATCAGTGGTTGGACATACAGAAGTAATGACACATGGAGACATCCTCTCCCCCAATACCTTGGTCTGAGGCAACAGTCTATATACTGGACTTTTCACTTGCTTTCTTCCTGTGGAGTTTTGTTGTGTAGAGGATGATCCTTGTCCAGCAGATGATCCAACTGACAGATCATCACCTGGTGAAGCTTGACCCTGGCATTGACCTGCTGTGTTGACTTCTCCCAAAGCTTGTTTCAGGTGAACCTGGGGATTTTGGTTTGGAGTGAAACTAGCAGTACCCAGGGTAGGTTTTACGGAGAGAGTGACTGACGATTGAATCTCACACCATGTGTCGTAGATTTGTATGTCAGAGCCACGCTGAAGTGCTATCTT